CTAAAAATTACAGGTCGGTTTAGCTAAATCGGGCATGCTGCGTCAACAAAACATAATATATACGTAAGTAACGTCTTTCCTCTTTTCATTGAAGGCATCTAATCCGATTCTACAAATTTTTATGTTGAAGTGTTCTTTTTTAATCGCAGTCCCCAAGTTGTAAGGGTTCTCATCACAAGCTGGCAAATCACATCTTTTATCTTAAGAGATCAAGAAGAAGAGGAAAACCATGTTATAGTTCAGAGTAATAAAGTTAGTCTAATGAAAAAAAAAAAACTGTTGTTATTATGCATCGGTGTCTCTACCTCAGTTTTGATTTTTTGGAAACACGCAGCAAATTACTGTTGGCACCGTTTTCCTTACATGCGTTACGTGCTTAATAAAACTAAAAAACTTGCAAAACACCAAGCTCACGCATTATCCATTTCACTAGGAGGTGAATATGTAACAATTATTGAATCAGGCTGAGTATGATGTGAAAAAATATGCAGATCGAGGTGGATAACAGCAGAATTCTTCACATTATTCAAAAACCGAATTTAATAATTGTTTTATTACTCATTAAAAATATTACTAAGTAATTAACAAGCTTGGTTTCCATGATAATCATCTCAATCGCCTCAAACACTGGAGGCGCGTGGTCTTCAGCGATGTTTCTGGGTTCGCCGCGAAAAAGGAACTTTTGCCCATGCTTTGCAAACAAGCCAAACACAATGGCGGATTTTAATGGGAGATTTCTGGGATAGCCTTCGATCGTTCTAATCGTCTCAGTCGTCTGACAATGTGTCCTTACGATCGCTTCAAATTTTACGCGATCATTCCCACCGTCCGAATAGAACTCAATTCTATCCAAACTGTAGAGGTCGTCCCAGTCGTCAGGGTACTTTTGCCATATAGTCATCCCAATCGCCTGAACATTATTTGAGAAGACTGAGGTGATCATATGGAAAACAGGCTTTACCGCAACCAGAGGCAGATTCTCATCCGCCACAGCCTGAAGGTGAGAACAAAAAAGCAGAAATTAAGGTTAAGGGCTCGGACAAGTTGGCGGAGATGGTCGCTTCTCCGATTCAGAGTAACAACGACGAAGACGAAGCTGCCTTGATAGCAAAATTACAGGCACTCCAGGTCACCGAAGAGTCTCTGGAAAAGAAAAAGGGCTTGGAGGACATGAATCGGTAGATACAGGAATCCGAATTCTGTATAGCTTGGCTGAATAGCCTGTCGTAGTTACGTGCCTCATCCTTCTGATTCGGCCATTTTGGCACCTGAGAACATGCAAACCACCCCCAAAACTACCCGCTGGACACGTTGCTCGCTGATAAAGAGTACTACAGCACTCTTTTCTGGAACAAGTTCTGGGAGTCAGGTAGTCTCCAAAAGTTCCTCTCAAGACTCCACGAGCAACACCGGAGTCCTTGATGTTTCTCAAGCCGGCGCAGCTGGCGAAAGGTTAGCGTGTGTTACCTATAATTGACTTCGGGGACTGTTTAGCCTACACAGAGTTGAGTAGTAGGTTTATTTGGGCCTCTCTGTGCTCAAGTTTGATGACAATTTTCGTCAGCTTTTTGTATTATCGATAAGGGGAATGCTGCCCATCCTCTTTAAAGCATGCAATTAGACTCCTATTTTGGCTTTCAGCAACTTCAGGTTCACTGCTGTTTATGCCGAGGGTCAGCAGCCTTTTTATCTCGCAGTCTCAAAGCTGCTTCTATTCCAAATTACCTTTAATTTAATAATATTATTGGTCTACTTCTCCATAAGGAATTTAACCTGCCAAATCCCCTCACTGACAATTGGCTATTACATTCTCTTTTAACTAGTATTATACGGGTTAAAGGTATGCCACTCGCCCAAAAACAACCCGTAACCCGTAGCATTTTGGGTCGTATTTATTCGAACCTCAAAAGTGTTGATGCCTTTTTCTGGGTTATCTGCTTGGTGTCACTTTTTGGTATTCTCTATTTTCCAATTGCCCATAATACACTCTGTTTGCCCCCCAAATTCTGCATAAACCATTGTTTTTAAATGCTCCTGGGAGTATTTCATTTTCCCAAGGGCATTTTAAGACAATAAGTTATGCAAAATTTGGGGGGCAAACAGAGTGTATTATGGGCAATTGGAAAGTAGTCAATGCTTCTCAAGAGCCATCTCATTGTTAAATCTGCACGTTCCTTTGATGCTTCCCAGAAACTATCGCGTTCTGGTTTTAACCCACGGGGTGGTTTATGCCATAAAACTCGTCGGTTTAGAAACACATTACCTCTGTTGTTGTTTACATATTTTAAAAGTACATTTTATTGTGGCTTTTCAGGGTTTATTATAAGGTATTAAGAAAAATGGATACTAATTTGGTCAGTTCATAGTATGAATCAAGTGTCTCACTGTTTAGATTTTACGGCCTTAATACCCTCTGAAGAATAAATGAACTATTAGTTACCGAAACAGAAAAAACAATACGAATCTTGATTTTTTTGCATTATAAGTAGTTTTCAATCAAAGGAGCGTACTATTCATATGTAAAAGTTTTCTATAGCATTTGCAAAGTCGTTCTGATTTAGGCTTAAAATACTAATATATAATATTTTTAATTTTTACTAATATTAAGTGTTCTAGCGGAGCTCTAGCGCGCTCCAGCGAAGCACCATGGGTAAGTAAAACTACCCATCCCCGAAAATTTGGTAATCACGTGACCGTACACCGCCCGCCCGTCCGTCCGCACCACAGGCATACCAATGTTTAATCTCACACTTTCTAGCTATTAAAATGTAGTTTGGGAGCCCAGCAAACTCAATGTGCACTCATATTGCACATCAATGTTGTGATCAATTGACAGCTGTCAAAACAGGGGTATCCAGTGAACAGTATCACCTGACCGTATCGCGGGTTCAGAGAGATCGAGTATTATTTTTTGAAGTTATCCAGTTTTTCTTAAAAAATTCATATTAAACTATATGAAATAAGTTGTGTTTCATAATGTGCCGCATCATTATAATTTTGATTTCAAACTGACCTCGGAAGCGAAAATTTAGCCAGCTATTATAGGCAGAGAGGACAGTTACTTTTGGCCACGCTCTACGTCCAATTTTTATGCTCTGATTGGTCAAAATTTGACTTGTGAGTTCATGCAGAAAATGTATGCAACATCTTGAAACATGTTTACTGATAGTTGAAGCTAACAGCGTTTTGTGTCAACTTGTGATGTTTTTAACTATCTTTTTCCACTGAATGTACAAAATTGTATACAGATGCTATCAAGAGTCGTCTGTTATTCATGTCTGGTGTTTATTGGGTTTTTGGTTGAGAAATGCGCCGCTTGTCAAAGTTGGAAATCCGATTTCGGATAGCATCACCTTGCTTGATGCGTAAAAGGGTTGAAAAGTCTCAAGCTATACTGGCTATACTTGACCGCATTCAGGAGCTGCATCTCGAATGGTAAGTCTGAGTAATTATTGCATTTGATGTTTTTTTTTCCAAATTTCATGAAGCTTAAGTCGAGTGTCGAATAGTCTATCAGATGCACGTTTGTAAAATTATACAAAATGACCTGACCTAGTGCCCGGTTTGATATAAGCTTATAACTTAAGCTTACAGAACCTTAAAATGCCTTTAGTCTTTTTCTCATCGCAAATGGAAAGAAAACGTTCCGAAGAACATTAAGTTATAATATAGGCTGTAAAAAAAAAAATGCTTTGAGCGATTTTCTCGATTAAATTTTTCTTGGCACGATTTTGTAAAGTAAACTTGTCGAACTTAAAAAATTCGGCCTGATTTTTTTTATTTTGGCCTTCCTTTTTGATAAAGGTATCGGCAAGTGAACCTATAAATTACAACGTGTAAATTGGCTGCCATCGAGGACTAGCACAAGTTAAATTTCGTTGTTGTCCAATTAACCTTATTAAATACATGTAAAGGTGGTGTAGGTGGGTGACTGGGTTGTTTTGTTTGGGAAGAATTTGTTTTCCTGGCTTACTGTGATCAAGAGCCATTATGCTCTTGACTGTAATCGATTGCTATTTTTTGGGTGTACTTTTAAGGCTATGTGTAACTCAATGTAAGATTTGTTTCACCGGCTTGAACTAATTGCAAATTAATTTTTTTCTAAAATCACTCAGTCTTTCCCTCAAAACTCACATGAACCATACAAGTTTATTGTTTGATTTAAATTATAAATTTATTAATGGGAGCTTCGCTTTAAGCCCTGGCTAAATCTATATATTATGTTACTACTGAGGGAACCATTATTTTTGTAAGTATCTTTCTATAACCTTTACATCTTACTGTAAAGACTTATTTTATAGTAACACAGTGTCACCAATTAGTGTGTTTATACGCTAGAACATTTGACCCTTAAATAAAGTTTTACAACTAATACTTTCCTCCTTTCTCCCACTCTATTACTTTTTACCACTTCTGCGTTGGCGTTTTATTTGGCGTAACATACTTGAAATCTCTTTTCCTAGTTAAATGTACTCTTCTAAAGACCTTTGATACTGAGATGTAGCTTGCTTTGATCTCTAATATGCAGATGTGCAAGTTATTAGCTCTTCCGCGACTGACCAAGAAATGCGTGATTCCTCCTGGTCGCACTAACTTCCACAGTATAGGCTTTCGGAATATGCATTGAATATTTTTTATGGCATAAAAAGTCATTTGTACCATTGGTAACCTATAGAACTAACAAATTTTTATTATTTAAAGCTGTATAAATTCGTTTCAGTGGCACTTAGACATTGACGACAAACGTGGACAAAGCACGACTAACCGCTGAACTGATGTAAAACGTGTATCATCTAGAACGGAAAATGGAAACCACGTGGACAAATGTTTAAAATTAACGACAGTATCTTTGATGTCCCTTAACTGGCATCTGAAGGTTAAAGCGACGATTTCTTTAAAATTACATCAAATACTGAATTGAAGTCGTTTCTTTTCTCTTCAAAAGGACAAGGACGATAAGAATTCAGTTCCTCACTGCCACCCCGTAAAGGATGTTTTTTTTATTCGGGCAAAGTTGGTACTCCAACACGTTGAATTCGTTTTAATTTCTCCGGTTCCTGAGCTGGGTGATATTCTTGCACCGCATTCGCAGCACTAGGAAAAAGATTAGAATTTGATACAACCCTTCCGTTTTGAGACTGATGGGCTTGCGGACCATTTATTGGGTAACTATAAGAAACTGATGAACTTATCAGGTTGTCACCATCCAGGGATTTCGAACGATACCAAGTGACTCCCTCAGTATTGTAGTCTTCTTTGGGAATTGGAAATGGAGGTGGACTTGATGAATCCCACAACTCTACCTCCTTTACAGGTATCAATACATCACCGTCGGATCTCCTTGGGACATACTTCATTGGTACGTTTTTCCTGGGATGAGGAGCGGTCATATATCCCATGGGAAAGTGTCCAGCAGCATCGTGAGATCGAGGTGGAATCATTCCTAATCTCGCCATTCTTTCCTCAGCTGAATTCGCTCCTTCGATTCTGGTGGGTTGGAGTGGCAAACTTCCTCGCCGCCACTCGAATTCTGAAGAACTTTGAGACCTGCCATATCTATTTGCAGAAGAGGGTCTTGAGTTGTCAAGTTCTTTGGAATACCTAGCTAACGTCCTCCCAACAACGAAGGGCTCGTTACCAGTTACTCTTGTTAATGTACCCGGTGAGGAGCGTACTGATTCTTCTTGTGATTTCTCTACTAAATACCAATTGGGATTTGTGTGCGCGGAACTACTTGACATAGTGCTTGAAGGTTCCACTCCCACCAAGACCTGACTGCGGTCCAAAGTTGCCATACGCCTTTGCAATCGTTCCTCGCGTTTCCTCATACGATCTTTCCTAGAGTAATGCAAGAAATGAGAGAATTAAACGAACCATTCCCCCTCAAATCGAACAGCACTAAGAAAACTGTCATTTCAGCTAGTATCTAGTTACGCTATACTCGTTTATCTTTAGTCTAGTTAGTTTGTTTTCACTATATCCTTTATCAGCCTTACGTTTTTGTCTTCGTTGCTATCTAGAAGCAGCGTAACTTAGAATTTGTCTTGCGATGTAGTCGCTTGTAGTCTCCTTCGCAGCCTCTCGGGCCGGGGAGCCTTGCGTGACTCCGGCGCGAGCGGCTGTGAAGAGTCTAAGTCACTTGTGATGTAGATCATCGCCTGCTTGCTGCTAATCGTCATCAGCTAATGACGTCACGGGTTGCGCATCACCATGCAAAACACTATAGACCAAATGCAAAAATGGCTGCCAGATTAATATTCTTTTGTTTAAATTAAAATTAGCCCAACTAGCCTCGCTTGAGATAAGGTATTCTTTTGAATTTTGTACTGGAGAACGAGGCTAGTTAGGCTTATTTAAATTCAGACAAAAAAATATTAATCTGGCAGCCATTTTTGCATTGAGTGTATTCACTGCTAATTTGTCATTTCGATCTGCGCTGTTTCGATGACTTGTTCCCTTGGTGGTTCGATGTCGTACGAATCTTCTCCTGACAAATTGAGTTGGTTAACAGAGTTCCCTTTGAGTGCAAGGTTTAATTAACTTTGCGAGACTGGAACACCATTGCCGTTTCAGAGCACGCGCAGAGCACCGGTTACCAGACGCTTTGATCAAGATCCTTGCTGGACACACAGGGTCAAACAGTCATATGACTTAACCCTAACACCATTAACAGGATTAGTGGCATAGAACCACTAGGAACATGGATTGCCACGTTCAAGAAATACAACAGTGATGAATACTGAAAATACTATTTGAAATAAACCCAACACGGGGTTAAAACGAACAAGTGCAAATAAATATAATGTCTTAAATACCTGGCCCACAAAGTGCAAAATATCACTAGGATACATATAAGAACCACAATTAACGCTGCTAATCCTGCAACGAGGCCAATGAACCAGGGCTCCTCTAACACCATGATCTGAAATTCAATCAATACAAGAAAATCTCAATGAACAAGAACTTGAAAATAAAGAAAAAGTTTCACCAGTCAGTATGCTTTATATCAGTAAACGCCACAGAATTTGAAAGAACTTTAAACAGCAGCGGTCTTCAGTCATAATTTGAAAACATCATAGTAACTTGTTACAGCTGTTGTATTTGGCATTACTTTTCGCTTCATTTGTACAACTGATTAACAGTTAATCACAAAACAAACATCATATCAAGAAATATTTAATGAATATCTCCCGGATATCTGTCAGTTGGATACAGAATCATCCCCATTAACGTTGAACTTTTCCAACATTAATCCAAACTTTACCATCAAAGTACTGCAACAACAAGTCGCAATATGTGAATAAAGGAATGTTGAATGAATGAAGGAATAAGTAAACCAATACTACATAAATATGTAAAAAATTTGAAGAGAACAAGAAAAAAATAAATGAACAAAAGTAAAGCAGGTAAAAAACGTAGTTCACCAGGCTGGTCTTACTTTTATTAACATAAAAAGTTCAATCCTTTGTTTTTATACCCCCCAAACTCTTTCTCTTTGATTTCAAAGGCGATGCCTAGTTTACCTGATGAAATGCTTGAATGAAGCTAGTCATCGTTATGAATGATAATAATAGTCGAGCTAAGGTGTTGATCTGACGATTTTTTAAAATCTGTGCATTCCGGAATAAAAACTATAAACTGAATAAATGCGTAAAATAATATAAAAGAGCAATATTAGCTAGTATCTGAATCAAGAGACCACTGGTTTTATTCAAGAAGGCCGTTTACATTGTTGACAGCAATTTTTGTTTCCAATTTTTACTACCAACGCGAAAACGTCTCACTGCTATTATATGAATAATAGTATTTGGCCAATATGCATTTCGCTAGTCTTCAATCAGTGTAATCTGCATTATGAGAACACTATATTTGCAGCAGAAACGAATTACCATTTAGCAAATACACAGGAGCGGTAACTCGAAGCGAAAAAATTTTGTTCCTTTCTTGAGGTCTTTCTCGTGACGTGTCAGATACCACACGGTCTACAAGACATTTACAACTTTTCTTATTTGAACAAAATGTAGGATACGTCTGCTGCCCATTATAACAACTACTGTTAACAAGTGTCGATACAATAGAAAATTATCCGATCATTCGTGTTACCATTACAATTCCCTAAATATATGAATGGCGTGAATCTGACTCAGCTACGTAAATATTACCAACCTCTTTCAATTCCTCTATCGCGCACTGGCGTGAAACATTCTGTTATAGATTTTAACACAGAGTAAAAGTAAAAGTCGTTCAAGCGCAATTATCACTTGGCCTTCTCTGATCGCAGCTGACAAATAAATGCAAAATAACAAAGCGATATGACCGCCTCTTGCTGGAGGCATGCATGCGTTTCATTCTTTGTTGAGTGTTTGTTTCATGCATTCACGGATGAAGGCATAACTGTATCCACAAATTCCTATTTTTTTGCCTGGTTTCGTCGTGATGAAATAATCTACATAAAATCGCATACTCTTTCTGATCAGCTTTTTACAAACACTGGAATTCTTACTGGTTTGATGCTTTAGTAAGCCGTTTGAAAATATTGGAGCCTTAATGTCAATACTGAATGCAAATTCTTTTTCATTTATATACACTCTAATGAAAGAATACTTGTCTTTCAAATAACTAAGTCATAATGCTTCCGTCGCGAGCAAATTTTTCTGTACTGAAATCAGCACTTGACTTAATCAAAGCATGAATGAAATTTTGTCTGGTACGTGAGCGGAGAAAAGATCAGTGAAAAGGCTATTTTAACCATCTTCCTGATCAGGATATAAGGGCGCACGTTTGGGTCGATAAAAACTCCCTCAAACTCAATATCATCACAACGCATTTGTGACAAAGTCGTAATTAAAGAAAAACTTCTGAATGGAGTAGGACATAAAAACGACAACACTGGGCACTGCTCTATTCCAAATTTATGTGCTTTATAAAAAATACAATAAAAAGCTCAGCATTTTTTTCTCTCTTTTTTTTGCTTTTCTTCAATATTTGATATTTGTCAGGTGTTGTTGTTCGGGTGTTGGTATGCCAGCTGAAAATACAGTGTCATTTTGTACATATAATTATGGAGCTTGAAAACTTGACCCTTTTATGCAAGGAACAGTTCTGACCATAAGCTTGAACTCTATCCTCCCTTTATTTTTGGCCCAACTTATTACTTCCCGACCCCACTACACAAAGGACCACAAAGAAAAAAACGTTCTTATCAACGTTTTTATTTATCTTTTCTTACCAGGTTTTTTTTTCTGACTAACCTCAATGAAATAACGTTGTCAAAAAAGAAAAAAAATGAAAACTGAAAGCTAATAACAAACTGGATTTATAGACCTTTTCGGCTTGTATGTTGTCTGTTTTCAGTTCAGACCACGTGATGCTCTCAAGCGAATTTTCGTAAATTATTCATGCATCTATGCACGTAGATAGGACGACATTAGAGTGAAACAGTTCTCTGGGGGTAACATCACGTGCTCTAAAATGGGAAAACATACAAACTGTAAAGGTCTAGTAATTAGCTTTGAACTCCAAAGTTTCTTTTATTAACCATATACACGTATAACATCACTTGATCTGGCGGAGATGTATTAATTATATCAAGATTCCTAACGGCAGAGCGTTTCGTTTCGAACATTGTCTATAAATTTTTCTATCAGACCTACATGTAACGCTTTTTCAATAAGATGTGTCTCGAAAAAGAATTATACTGGAAAAGTAGGAATATCCGTGATGTTATAAATACTTAACAAACCAGGAAGAAAAGGAATACAGCGTCAAAGGTGAACATTGGGTGACAATCATGTTAATTCACACGTAATTGGTCACGCCATTTTTTTCTGTATTCGTTATTGAATCAATTACAACTTTAAAATTCCTATCTTCTTCTTGGACGCATTTTAATAAGTAGAAATTATAAGCTAAAGAGAAACGTATTAAATAGTTCAGACCTCGAAAACAATTTCGTCTGCGTAAAGGGCTTTATGGGTAATAGTACGTGGGTTAAAATGGACACAAACGACGACATTTTAGCGACAGATAATAAAAATAAAACTATGTTTTGTATTTGTGTACATAAATATGGAGATTTGCGTTCATATGACGAAAAACACTGCTTGGAAATCACTTTCTTAAAGCGAAGAGTTTAGATTTGCGCCCTCTTAATAAGAATATTTTATTATTTTACTTCTCATGGGAAAACGGAAAATGTTGAAATAATAATATGAATTAAATACTTAAAGTAATATCAGGTATTGTAATTAGCATGAATTTAATGCGGAACTGTAGAGCAGCACGCCATCACAGGCGATTGTAAACACGTTAACTTCATTTCACTGTACTAATAACGATTAAATAAACCATTTCCTAAAAGATCAGTTTATCAAATTTCAATACTTGAAGCAGCTAAACCACACTCAACAACATCTTTACAACACTGATAATAATGGAGTTTAAGATCTACATTGTAGCTATATCGATAAAGTACTTCAAAGTTTTGAAAACACGTACCTAATTTTAAATCTATGCAAAATGCACCTCGCCTCAACCGCAGTCAGTAGCGTTAATTTTCCCTGGACTGTTATCAATTTTTTTTTTGCGTCTCCGTCTTTGTGAAGGGTTAGTTTGGATATAATTTGGGCCTGTTCTGTTCCCCACACACTGAGTCGGTAGAATGAATAATTAGTTTTTTCACTCCGGATTTTTATTTATTGCTTAGCCACCATTGGTTGTCACCACAAGACAATGGATGTCGTCAACGGTTGTTAAAACTGTATCCGTTATGAAGATAATGCTACAATGGTGGTAAATGCTGACATCACTAAAAACTGCAGTATCCCACATGTTTCTCAACGGTAAAAAAAGACGCTAAGAAGCTAATTGTTTCAAACATCATTATCAAGAGGGAGAAATGATAAGTTTCCAATAACTTTGAAATTTATCATTTATCACTCTTGATAATGATGTCCTAGTTAAACATCGAAACGTCGAGTAGCTTTTTCAAGTTTTATTTTTCCTGTTAACTATTCCAATAAGCAATTGATTATCAGATTTCTTTCAAACCCTAGATAATTTTCAGCCATTTCTGTTGAGTCCTTAAATATATCAAAAAATGGAGCACCGAGAAACATCTTCAGGGAAACATTTCAGTCCCTGCTGGCATAGTCATTTATTATTAGTATGATAATTATCGGAGTTATGATTGGTACTAGGCAATTTTTCTGGCGACTTCTATAAATTTATTGCAATACTGCATGTTGCAATAGAAATTGCTTACAAACTGATTGCCTTGTGCAACACCCCTGAGATGAATATGCCTTGCAACATTCCGTACTATTCCTCATTAACAACTTGTCTGAAAATACTTCTCCATTTTCCAAGTTAATCAAAAGTAGGTTGTGGTTATTTTCCCCTCTCCCTCCTTCCTTTTCCCGGCGGATCTCCAAATATACAAGACACAAGGACTGGTTACAAGTCTGAATTTAGCAACTGAAAAATTGCGAGACAAGTTACTTAAGATTTTCAAGTGCAATAGCTGCATATTTACTGGTGGCTGTTGGTCTCACACTGGGTAGCCCGGCCTTAAACGGAACGGATCCGTTTTAGTTTGTTTCATAATTTACTCAACATTCAGTTATAGTTCCGAGCATTCCGAGGGCATTCGTCGATTTTGTTTCTCCAAGGGTCATGTTCATCCTTCATTTGTGAAAAGACGAAAATGTTTGACAACAGAAAGCTCAAAAGAGTTCAATGTGTCAATTTCAACGAATGACGTGCGCATCAAACTATTCATACAAAAATTAAAAAAAGTTCGTGGTACCATTAGAAAGCCGATCATGATCATCCCTCATTTCACTCGGTCGCGAGCGCGCTGTGATGTTATTTCAGAAATATCGGCACGTACATCTTCACGAAACGTAGGGAATGGTTTTC